TCCCCACACCTGTTGTGAGTATAAGTAAAAGATTATGTAAAAAAGAAGGTGTACATGTAGCATAACCCTCGTTATCACTGTTGCTGTTTTTCGTTGAATCTGAATTCCCGTTGCTTTAGAACTTTTGGCTTCTAGTCATAATATGCAATCAAAGAGACCGGTCTACACCAAACAAGGGCTAATTGAAATTCCAAATCGCATGCATGAGGAGTCTGCCAACTAATCAAGAACTATGATAAGTTGGCGTGCTGAAAATGTTTGCTCACACTGTCAGTTTGATAGAGATTGGTCAATTTATCGAGTATTTGCTTAAAGATATTCACTTCACAAATTCTTGATCGTTTTCACTAATGTTTCCTCTTCAAACAGTTGTTAACACAAATTCTTGACCGTTTTCACTACAACATTATCTACATTTGCATTGGCAGGTGGAAGCACATACTGTGGTTCTGAAAGAATTATACATACTTCCTTTCGAAAAAAATCAAAATTGAAGAAGTATACAACTTATAATTACTTTTCTATTGATTTACATGAGAACCAACACTCAAAGGAGAACAGAGAAAATTATTCAGACATTATACATTAAAGTACATATTAAAATCTGTTCCCTCCTTATTATGTAAATGGTAAGAAGTAATAAAACAAAAACTTCGTAGGGGAGAAGACAGACACAGATCATCAGTTGCCTTGCAAGCAACACACCTTCAAGATATCATCTATATCTGGATCATCCCCTGCTTCTTTGTCCTATGTAGAGTAGACAAGTTCACAGAGTAAGATGAAATATAAAGACAATTTCCCAGTAGTATAAGCGATTTACAAAGATTCCACTCTCTGAATGCTCGGATGGCCATTCGTAAGGGAAGTTATTATTTGAACCAGAGACGGATTTAGGATCGGATTACTGGCCGGACTAATACGAAAAAAGAATAAAATTACATATGATTTTTTTTTTAAATAAATTTTTTTTCTAACTAAAAAAAAAAATCAGAGGATGGGAGCCTGGCCCAGCCCGGCCCCCTCCTTCCTTTCCTGGTTTGAACAAGAACATTTTTTCTTTTTAAATTATATGCCTTAGTTTGGTAGAGATTTTTTAAGAATAGATTTTGTTTTGGACAATGTATGCTTAAAAAAAAATTATGGATCTACGTGCAAAATTATATTATTGGGAAAATGTGTAGTTGAAGACGAGGTTGAGAAAAAAAAAGAGCTTTTGGGTAAATGGAGGCCAAACAAGGTGTCTGTTAAAGATTCTATAAAACCTATTTTTCGTCAAACTCATTTTCACCTATACATTCTCCCAGTAAAATGATTTTGCAGGTGGAGCTATAATTTTTCCGTACTTTTTAACCATATATTCTTAAGAAAAACCAATTTTAACAATTTATATCAAAACATGCCCATCTTTTTATGTTAATTTAATGAAACATTAAGTCTTCGTTTGCCCCCATTAATTCATAATAGGGTTAATTTCACAAATGGTCATTGAAGTTACCTGAAAATTTCAAAACGGTCACTGAAATTTGAAATTTCTTTCAAAATGGTCACTGAATTTTCAGATTTTTTGGGCAAGTTTGAGGTAAATTTTCGATAACTTTCGACCACCAAAATCACCGATTTCAGATACCGTTGGAAAGCCCACGATGTCCCTTCAATTACCACAAAAAATATTCCCAAAACTTCAAGTGATTCTGCAGGAATAAACCCACGAAGTCGGCAACCGAAAATTGTGAAAATCTGGCAAGATTTTCAGATTTTTTGGGCAAGTTTGAGGCAATATTTCGGCAACTTCTGACCACCAAAACCTTCGATTTCGGATGCCGTTGGAAAGCCCACAATGCCCTCTTCAATTATCACCAAAAATCTCCCCATAATTCCAAGGTATTCGGCCGGAATCATTTGGAGTTTTGGGGAGACTTTTTATGAGGACAGTTTGGGTTTTCCAACGGTATCCGAAATCAAAGGTTTTGGTGGTCAGAAGTTGCCGAAATATTGCCTCAAACTTGCCCAAAAAATCTGAAAATCTGGGCAGATTTTCACAATTTTCGGTTGCCGACTTCGTGGGTTTATTCCTGCAGAATCACTTGAAGTTTTGGGAATATTTTTTGTGGTAATTGAAGGGACATCGTGGGCTTTCCAACGGTATCTGAAATCGGTGATTTTGGTGGTCGAAAGTTATCGAAAATTTACCTCAAACTTGCCCAAAAAATCTGAAAATTCAGTGACTGTTTTGAAAGAAATTTCAAATTTCAGTGACCGTTTTGAAATTTTCAGGTAACTTCAATGACCATTTGTGAAATTAACCCTATTATGAATTAATGGGGGCAAACGAAGACTTAATGTTTCATTAAATTAACATAAAAAGATGGGCATGTTTTGATATAAATTGTTAAAATTGGTTTTTCTTAAGAATATATGGTTAAAAAGTACGGAAAAATTATAGCTCCACCTGCAAAATCATTTTACTGGGAAAATGTGTAGGTGAAAATGAGTTTGACGAAAAATAGGTTTTATAGAATCTTTAACAGACACCTTGTTAGGCCACCATTTACCCAAAAGCTCTTTTTTTTTCTCAACCTCATCTTCAANAAAACAATATTTCAAATATTATAACATCAAATGATAGGGGGCGAAACGGGGGCTAATATATTTGAGCAATACAAGCCAACATTAAGGGAGAATAAAGACTAACCTTGTGGATATATGAGATATTATTTTTACCAGGACCTGCAACAATGACTCAACCTTGCTGCCTGAGAACATGTACAAAGTTGGCCAAGATTTGCACCAAAATCCAAGTAATTATTATATACATAACAAGATGCTAGATCAAACAAGTATTGATGATGTCTTGAACCCACTCTCATTTGGTAATCATAAGCTCGATAGTACCCAACAGTCCAAGCAGGAGGGTTTTCAAAGAAAAGAAATGTTAACCTTATCTTTATACGTTCAGCGAGAAAGAAATGAAAGAAGACTGGGCAGTTCTCTTTAGGTCCCAGTGGACAAGCTTAAGTAGCATTGATGATTACTATGTGTTCATCAGGCATACATTTTATAGGGAATAATTTACAAATAATCTCATGTAAAACAAGTTCATCTTTCCCAGTTTTAGTAAAATTTGAGTAAAGTGATTTGAAAATCATCAGCTTTGGGAAAGAATGAATGCAGGAGAAGCATATTTGTCACTTCGTTTAAAAACTCAAGTTATCGAAATAAGCTTGCTTTATGGTCACTGTAAGACCACATCATCCATCGGTAGTTCAAGAACATGAATTAAAATATGAGATACATATCCTTCCAGTCAATAAATAAATAAGCAGACAATTGCATTGCATGTACAAAACTAACTGCTTTTTTAGATTGAATTCGTCAAAAAGTTTGCACAAAAAATGAAAAAGGTTTGGTATCACTTGCATCAAATTCTGAAAGGTATTACTCTAAATTTGGAAAAAGGCTCTAATTAGGGATTTAGGGTTCAGTTCGTCGGGTTGCCTTCAGAAAAGTGGGGAAAGTCGCTTTGTTGGGTTTGATTCAAGAAAATTGCGGCGGATTAGGATTTGAGTGTCAGCTTGGGCTAGGTTTACACAGTGGAGAGTGTGGGTGGGGTGAATTTGGTGCTTGTTTATTGACCTTTTCGTACAATTCTTTCATCTGGTCAAATTACCATTAATTAAAGACATGCAAGGTATTTAAATTTTTTAGAAGGGCTGAAGGGGCAAAAAGGTCCAAAAATTACAAATTTATCAAAATGAAAATTTTTCTAGATGATAATCCAAAAAGTAACATTGATTCTTTAAAAATTAACACACACTATAACAACAATAACACATAAAATAAGTCATAATTCTTTTAATAGCCCCGCTACATTTACATTATAGGTTTCATCTTGATTTACACTCTTACACGAGACACGATATGCACCATTGATTTCACGTCGCTTTTCCCATCAATGCACAAATTCCCCCCACACGAGGAATGTCATGCTAGACGACGTACACTAGCATTACTCTTTTTTTAAAACAATTTCGCCCAGTAAAAAGATTAAATATTAATCGACATAGAATTTCGGTAAAATATTTGCAGAAAATAACACTTACATAAAAAAATTATAGAAAAATTACAGTGTAACAAAATTAATAGATTGAAGGTACCTGATTTTTTAAAAATATTTCATCATATTTTTGTACCGTTAAATACTTAATTCACTTGATTTTTAAACTTGATCCCCAATTGTTCCATAGTTGCATAATTAACCCCACTTAACAAACAGTTCTCTTCTTCTACTAACAGGGAAGATTTTCAAGTATACTTCTCAGTTCTTACAAACATCATCCAATACCTTCAACTGTCAATCTTAAAAAGGCTAAAACAAAAATAATACATGGAAATCAAGAAACCTTAATAACCAAGCTTCAGACATCAGATAATACACATGAAAATTACATACAACTCACCCAATGCATCGAACACACTATAAAAACACTAAAACTATTTGTCAATAGTGTCCTTATTTTGATGCTAGCAAAAATCCTAAGCAAGTGTTAAGGTAGAAATATTTAAGCACAACGTACGAAGGAGGAGTATGGGGGAAAAGTCACAGCAACAAAAAACAACACAGGGCATCCAAAATTTACATAGCAAACAATCAAGAATAGAAGGCGCAAAAATTATTGATAAGACTTTAGGCATACTGCTAAAACTGCCAGGGGAAATGATGCAACGAAAGATCAAAACTGAATCGCTTACATGTGGAATACTAATAAATATCCATTGACGTCCAGTAAAATCCGTGATGTAGATGATTAAACCATAATTTCTCAAACTAGCCAGAAACTTGGACACAAAACAATGGGCAGAAAAAAACTGCGATATTAAACTAGGAAAGTTATTGGTGCATTTCTCTCTCACATGATTCATGACTTAAAAATCCAAAGCAAAGAAGACCGTAAATCAGACAAATTAAAAATTTTGATTCAATACACTTTTAAAAAGAATCACTGAGAAGCACCCAACCACTTTGAAAAGTTCTCGAATTCAGTGTAATCGCTATCTGAGATCATTGTCTTGTACCATGTCCTGCTGGCAGCCTTGATTGTTGAAGCCTCCTGAAAAATAAAACAATAGGGAGAATTCAAAGGAATTAAAAAAAATCCTTCTGGACATGAAAAATATGTAAACACAAACATAACACTAACAACTGGGGGAAAATTCAAAGGTAATAAAATCTTTTAAAGTTCCATTATGATAAATGGAACAATCATTTAAACAAAAAATTAGAACAAAGACAAGTTAAGACCAAATACATAAAGAATGTTAACAGGATTATAAAATTTGACTGGATGTTTACTGTCAAATCAATAGCAAACTTTACACAATTCACAGCAACACAAGGCAAGAATAGATGCACTGGGAATGACAAAAATGTGAATTGCCTATTCCAAAAATACCTTCAAGTGTCAACTCATTTGAAGTTTGCATAATACACAAGTCTCTGTCTCAGACTATTGCCACTCTTAAGCAAAGGCATCTCATGCAGGCAAGACCAGAAAAGAAAAAATCTTGAATGAGCAAATTAACGATTTTCAGTCATATCCACGTTGACGATTAATAGAGGTCATGCTGGTCAAGCACTCTTAACATGACATGGACACTACCTATATAAATTCTGTATGGTCTAAAGGCTAAGCGAACTCAATACATTGTAACAAAGCAAAAGGTTCAAATTGCTGCAAACATCAGTTGTTGCAAGCAATCCCACTAAGCTTGCACCATCTAAATAAAACCACAAAACCAAATTCCAATCGAGGAACAGCTTTGACTCGCATCCTACTGACCTATTATACTAGCAGTCAATCACATACATAAATGGCATAATTAATCATTGACTATGAAACTGAACATCATCAACAACACAACAATTTCCATGATAAATAAACAGGGATAGAGAGTCATCAATCACTATTGTTTGACATGCAAAGATATCAAAATACAGAAATATACAAA